GCATTCCTTGGTCTTCCTGGGTTTAGAGTTCCATGCCTTTGTTTTCACATGGTGTTTTTCTTGTGAGCCTGTCTCTGTATCCAAATTTCCCCTCTTAATAAAGGACACCAGCCATTCTGGATGAGGCCCCACCCTAATGACTTCAGCTTAAATAATTACATCTGCAACAACCCTATTTCCAAATCAGGTCACATGCTGAGGTACTGGGAATTCCAAATTCATAAGTCCTTAAAAACTGGGGAGAGACAGCGTTCAGCATGGAAGCCCCATCAACACAATGGAAATTCACAGGGCTTATGATTGGGGGATATAGAATTCAATACCTAACAACTTGGGACAGTTTCATCTACTCTCACGTGAATTCTCTAGGAGGCATCTGGCATTTGGCTGTTCTGGGCTGCCCCAGAGTGACACATGTCTCCACTCCAGAGGAGGGTAGTGATTATATAGATTTCCCAGTCCCAGCCTCTCAGCCCTGGGGAGGAGTGTGTGCAGGCAGGGCATGTCAGGCTTACCAAAGGCCTGGAATGTTCCACAGCATGATGATCCATCAGAAGTTGGAACTGAATAAGCCAGGCTTCTTCGTGGTGTGACAGAGACCCAAGAGCTCTCCAGGAAAGTCTGAGTCTTCTGCAGCGAGATGAAAGCTCCTGGCCTTGGCGACATCTCGCAACCCACTGGGATCACACTTAACAAGACAGCCCCGTTACACCAGAGCCTGGTTTGGTGTCTGAAAGCCAGGCGGATAGCTCAGCTCTTGCTCAGTACCACTCCAGCCCCTCCTACCTCCATTTGTTCTTTTGTGGTGTTTCTGTTTGGTTCTGCCTGTATCCCTCACTGGACTCCAAACTCCTCGGAGGCCAAAGAGAGTATTTTATTCATCTGTGTAATAATCCTTACAGCTCCCATTGGTTAAAGTTGCCCTCAAGTAAAAGCACAATTAAACAGGGCATTTTCTAAGGGAAGAGAATGATATTCTCATCAGGAGGGTTGAGATGTAATCGTGTACTAGAGCTGAGGAATAGATACTATAAAGCTTCCCTGTTGTTTCTTTTGACATCAAGTTCTAGGACTCTAGGAAGGTGACTATTCTGCTCTCCCGTGGAGACAGAGTTTTTGTCCGTGGTATTCGAAAGGTTTAGCTTTGGGAAACCCACAGTTGCCAAAGCATGACCCTGACAAAAGCAAGGTTTAAGAAACGGCCCATTTGATTTGTGGAAGAGGTGCTTAGTGCTGCTTGGTGAACCCGAGGCCCCCCTTTGCACACGTATCATACACAATGTGAGACCCAAGGTCTAGATCACACTTGAGGATCCCCAGTAAAGGAGAGAGCAGAGTGCTCAGCTTTAAGGAAGAGGATGTGGTTCAAATGTCCCTCTTGTTTTAAACACCCTCCCATTGAACTGGGTTCAGAAATGGCACATCCCAAACCATCTATCCACTCAAGCTGTCCTCAGATGGGGCAGCAGTGGGGACTCTGCTAGAGTTGTTTCCTGGCCATTGCAGGACCCAGCCATGAGCAGTCTCAGAATAGTCACGGCTTTGCCGCAACATGCCTGTGGCTTTGGAATATGAACTTGGGCTTGTATCCACTTCCCTAATGCTCCCTCTTAAAGATCCCATCTGCCACATGTGGAATAGCGTTCGGTAACTTCTTTCTGCAACACATCTTAGTCCCTTTGATTCAGATGACCAAGTCCACGCAAGGAAACTGCTGGATGGGATGGCAATGCATCACGCTTCATCAGGCTTCATGCCTGGACTCCCAGGCAGCTTGAGACTAGGAAGCTTTAGAAAGCAAAGCCGCATTAGGCCTGGGGAAAACGGGCAGGTCGCTCCTTTCTTAGCCATTCTGCAGATGGCCGCCATAGGTGTGAAATCAGTGGTAGCACACCCAGCATCATCTCTTGCCCCAGCTACTCATCTGGCTTCAGAGCACTGTGTTATTATAGCCAAACTGAGAGGCTCCTGCACAAACTGTTCCTGTGCAGATATTCTTGGCATTTTGCTTCTTTGTGTTTCTTACGGCTTAGATTTATTCAATGTGAGTGCAGAATTCACACCAAACAGAGAGCCTCACCCTGACAGCAACCTCTGTCACACGTATATACATCAGTTTGAAAATACGACGGTTGTCATCTCTCTGCCATGAGTTGTAAAATGATGAGGTGCATCTATCCCTTGATGATCAGATATGTGCTTGGCTGATAATAACAGACTCCATTCATGGTGGAGTAATTGAGAATGGCAGCCCTGATTGCATGGCTGTGCCACCTGCCAGAAAGAATGGGAAAGTCTTGCTTTAAATTCTGTGGAAGGGCCGGGTGCAGTGGCTCACGCCTGTAATCCCAGAACTTTGAGAGGCCGAGGTGGGCAGATCATGAGGTCAGGAGTTTGAGACCAGCCTGGCCAATATGGTGAAACCCCGTCTCTACTAAAAATATAAACATTAGCCAGGCTTGGTGGCGCGCACCTGTAGTCCCAGCTACTTGAGAGGCTGATGCAGAAGAATCGCTTGAACCCGGGAAGCGGAGCTTGCAGTGAGCTGAGATGGCATGACTGCACTCCAGCCTGGGTGACAGAGTGAGACTGTCTCAAAAAAAAAACAAAACAAAAAAACAAAAAACCAACTGTGGAGGGTCTGCAGCGCAGTTCTTATTCTGCAAAATCTGAGGCGCTCATTCGTGGCCAACCTTACCTGTTATAAGGATCTTACAGATACATGTCCCTGTTATGACCTTACTGCTGGCTCTCTCCTCTCCTCTCCCCTCCCTTCCCTTCCCCTATCCCCTCCCCTCCTCCTTCCCCTCCCCTTTTCTTTCTTTCTTTTCTTTTTTCTTTTCTTGGGCCTCATTCTGTTTCCCAGGCTGGAGTGCAGTGGCGTGATCATGGCTCACTGCAGCCTTGACCTCTGCGGCTCAGGTGACCCTCTCACCTCAGCCTCCCAAGTAGCTGGGACCACAGGAACACACCAGCACGACTGGCTAATTTTTATATTTTTTACAGACAAGGTCTCACCATGTTGCCCAGGCTGGTCTTGAACTCCTGACCTCAAGTGATCCACTAGCCTTGGCCTCCCAAAGTGCTGGGATTATAGGCATGAGCCACCATGCCTGGCCTCTTTTTTTCTTTACCTAATTTCCATAGTCATTTATCTGTACGTTATCTTTTTTTCTTGTTTCAGGAGTACTTGTGTTCATTGTAGAAAAATTAGAAAATGCATATAAGCAAAAAAAGATTTTTGTTTCCTTTTTGTTCAACACACCACTACCCCAAGAAAGCTACTGTTTATGAACATTCTGAGATAATTTCATTCCAAGTATTTTTATGCACATTTGTTCAGCTTGCATTTTTGACTTAATGACATTTGGGAGTAGTTGTTATGTCTATAAAAACTCATCAACATTGGACTGCTGGATGGAAGCATTGTAATTTATTTAACCAGGCACATATCATCCATGATTTAGTTTATTTCCCAGTTTTCACTTTTGGAAACAATGTTACAGTCTTTGTGGCTAAATATTTGCACGCATTCTCAATTGTTTTCTTAGGGTGAATGCCTACAACTGGAATTGCTGGGTCAAAATAATAAATATACGTTGTCTTAAACTCCATTTTGTGAAAACTTGAAAAATATATATATAACTTAGAATACTGTATGGAAACCTCATATACCTAGTCAACAATTCCACAATGTTCAGCTTTAGGCCAGTGTTTTGGGCTACTACTCCCACCTGCTTCCCCTAACTCCTGCATTATTTAGAAACAGATCCAAGACATCATGCTAGAAAAACACTTATTTCTGTTTTTTTGCCCTGTCCCACCCTGGAGGCAAGGAACATTAGCTATTTGAAAATGGAGGGGGAAAAAAAGTGAATTACTAGGAAAAAAAGATGAACATCATGTTAGCATTATCCAGTGTGGTGTTTGGGCTATTCCCATTTTCCCTGCCACATTCTAGACTCAAGACTCATCATTTGTCTCCCTGGTTTCCTGCAACAACCAATAACCATTCTCCTGTCTTCTTTCTCTCTCTCTGGATAGGCGTATATGTTTTTAAGCTGTTTCATATCTTCCCAGATTGCACTCTGGAAAGGCTGAGCGAATTCATGCTTCTGCCAGCATCATAAGGAGTGCTCGTGCTGGTTGTTAAAGCTCTGGCTTCCTTCTTTCCCTCTCGCCTTCCTTCCTCCCTCCCTCCCTTCCCTTCCTTCTTCCCTTCCTTCTTTCCTTCCTTTTCTTTCTCCCTTTCTTCCTTCCTCTCTCTCTCTTCTTTATTAACCTTTTTAAAATTTTTAGAACCCCTTCTCCTCACTCCGTGGGGGAAAAAAAAGGAAGTTTGTTTTTTAAATTAGAATGTATGTGGTTATAAATGAGTGAAAGCCCTCCTTCCTCGAAGTTTGCTCATTAAATGTTTGTATATCCTCTTTATGAATTGGCTGTTGCTAATTTTGCTACTGGAGTGATTGTCTTTTTAAAATTGTGTTCACCTATTTATGTTAATCTCATAGCATTGTGCTTATATCAGTGAATTGCTATGAATCTTTTTTGGACTAAGATAACATATATGACATTTATATGAAAGAATGAGCATTGTTATAAAGCTAACAGCTTAGAGCAACAAGTCACCTTTAACAGTCAGAGGGACAAGTAGGGCATGAGGCATGCATGCTGTTGTGAGGGGACGGGGGGACCTGAGTGTGGGCTGGGAGCCCAGGGGCATCAGGGATGCTGGCAGGGACAAGGGAGGCAGGTGCTGCTCACCTAACCCTCCTTCACTCCTCACCGTCGTGCACAAGGGAGGTGAGGCAGGAGTTACTCCCGCTTCACAGCGACTTGTTCCAGCTCATACCCTGAATGAGATCTCTTGAGACCAAACATGGGATTTTTCTACTATATCATATTGATTCATATGTTTATTTGTAGAAGGCAAATAAAGCATTAAAATATATCAAATATTAGTATAATAATAATGAAGCAATTTTTTAAATGTTCAATAGCATGAAGGCCCTGGTCCAGGTGATTATAATGTGAAAAAACCTCCAACAAGCTCTATCACTTCTTGTTTTCAATCCAGAGTCCCTCGATTCTTGCCCAGCCGTTCAGTAAGTATTCGGAAAGACAGACCACCCCCCGCCCCCAGGGGCATGGTTATGGTGGTAGGTTTTCTGTTCCTGTGTGTGTGGGAGGTGCGGGCTGGTGGTGAGATGGGGGAATGATCATGTGTATACAGTTCTGGTACATACAGTTGCCTGTCAAGGCAATCAGAAGTGAAATGCTCAAATACCTGGACATTTTCAACCAACTTCAGATTCAGAGTGACTCCAGGCCCCAAATCTGTGGCTGAATTATGGGGCCACTTGGAAGCAGCACATTAATCAGCCATCAATGTTACCAACTAGATGCTTTGTTGGGGGTGCCTGCAGTGGCTGCCTCCTGCCAGCCAGAATGGCTATTCTGTGTGTGTGTGGCTTCTGGGAGCCCAAGGAAGCAAAATTTGAAGCAGAAACATTTTTATTAAACCGAATGGGACCATTAAGGCATTAGTGATCACCCAATCCCCAGAGACTCAGGACAGACAGGGAAGAGGCTCAGGTCCATAGAGAGATACAAAGAACGTGGATCCTGGGAGCGTGCAGGACGACTCCAAACCTAGAGAAGACCAGGAAAGATTATAAAAGCGTAATGTGAAGTTTACCAACAGTGGATTTTTTTTTTTTTTTTTTTAATGTCAAAAGAGTTTTAATTCCCTTAGCTTTGTTGCTTTTAGTCTGCAACTCGGTCTGAAAGTCCCCAAGACTTGCTGGTATATAGACTTATTTGAGGTGGCTGGGGAGACAGAAATACAAATTCTGCCTGTAAGAAAACGGGCCCACCCAGGGGGAATCAAGGGACTAGGAGGAGAAGTTGGAGTGGTGGGTAGGAGAGGACTAGTGCTGCCACTGCCTGGGCTGCAAATCACCTCCTCTAGCCCTACCTAGCCCATGTCCCAGGTCATGGCCTTCAGAATCTCTGCCCCAGAGCTGCTGGGCAGCAGAGTAAGGTAGCACAGCCTTTATCTAGATTGATAATGGGGAGGCCCTGCCAGTGAAATTGTAGACAGACCGACAGCAGGAGGCTGGGGGATCCATACACCTTAGTGGCATCACCATGATCCAGAAACATGTTTGTCAGAGCTCACGGGATCGGGCATTCTCAGGAACACTGAGTCATGCTAACCAAACTCCCAGGCAACTGAGCAAGAAGCCAGAAGAGGTGGTGTTAACTTCTAAGCATTCACCATACGGGCCTGGTGACTGGAGCACTGATTGGTGGAGTCTCTCCCTTATAGAAAATTTTCATGGAAGCTGAAGACAACCAGAAGGTTGTTGGTGGCAGTGAAATCAGGGGAGGGGAACTGAGCTTGATGTTCTCAAGGTGGCTGAACCCCAACCAACAGCCTCCCAAGGGGTGGCCTTGTGGGGGTGCAGGCCCCCTGAACCTTCTGTTCTCTGCCCTGGCCTCCCAGGACTCCACCTGCACGTTGCGCCCTCATTAATAGCACTAATAAAGGCTTCAGCTTCCTTTGACGTTTGGCCAGGACTTGATTAGATTTCCAGGCTGCTCCTCTGCTTTTGGCAAGGGAAACATCCTGTCATTTAAAGCGGTTTCTGCAGGCAGCTGATCTCATGTGCTCTGGACTGACTGCTCTGCTCCACTCTCACTGTCTCCTGAAGAGATAAGAAACTGCAGGGCAGGGTAGAAATGACAAGTAGGTGATAATAGTAGAGAATAATAGTGGTGGTAGCTAACTGCTGGCCTGTCCAAGTCTCTTTGTCTTAGAGAGGCGCCAGTGAGCCTCATAGCCCCTTAGAGGCAGGTACTCTATGCTGTTTGATGGGCAAGGTGTGGGAAGCCCATGCCCAGGGTCCCACTGAGCCGTTGGTGGTGGGACTAGGACTGGAACTCAGGCTTGTTGGGCTCTAAAACCCTTGATCTTAATCATTACACTGGTCCATACACTTGGTGTCTCAAATGCCTGTCAAGGAACTATGTGCATGTGCTCCAGCATGGGAGGAAATCGACCTAAGAAATTGGAAGTCTTAGGGCCAAGGCGGGGTGGCTCATGCCTGTAATCCCCAGCACTTTGGGAGGCCGAGGTGGGGCAGATCAGAGGTCAGGGAGATTGAGGCATCCCTGGCATAACATGGTGAAACCCCGTCTCTACTAAAATGCAAAAAATTATGCCGGGCGGTGGCGGGCGGCGCCTGTAGTCCCAGCTTAACTTGGGAGGGCTGGATGGCAGGGGAGAATGGCATGGAACCGGAGGCGGTCTTGCAGTGAGCTGAGATCGTTCCACCTGGCACTCCAGCCTGGGCAACTGTGAGCCGAGACTCTGCTCAAAAAAAAAAAAAAAAAAAAAAAAAGGAATGAAAGTCATTAGTTGGAAAAATGGGGCATTTTATTTGTTATTTTATCATACAGAAGGAGAAGCTTTGTTTAAAAATAATTGGCAGATAGGGTCCAGGTTGGGTGGTGCACCCCTGTAATCCCAGCTGCTCAGGAGGCTTGAGGCATGAAATTGGCTTAAGCCCAGGAGTGAGGTTGCAGTGAGGCTGAGATTGTGCCACTGCACCTCCAGATGGGTAAAGAGTTGAGACCCTATCTCAAAAACAACAAACAAACAAACAAAAACCCAGCCGGGTTGCGGTCATTATGGCCTGTAATCCAACACTTTGGAGGCGGAGGTGGTGGATCACAAAGGTGAGGAGGACTGAGGACCAACGCCTGGACAACGGTGGGCGGAAACCCCCCGTCCTCTATAAAATTTACAATAAAAATTTAGCTGGGTGTGGGGTAGTGGCGGGCACCTGTATCCAGCTACTCGGTGAAGGTGAGGCAGGAGATAGCTTGGAAACTGGGAGGCAGAGTTGTAGTAAGCTGGATCACCGCACTATACTCAGCCTGGTGAGAGGAGACTTTCTCAAAAAAAAAAAAAAAAAAAAAGAAACAAATAAATAATAAGTGAAATTTGTTTCAAGGCACTTTTATAACAAACAAAAACATGGACTTTTCAAAAATAGAACTTGTGGATCCTTGAGAATACTTCTTGACGCTGTGCCGTGGACCCTGGTTGAGAAACACCTTACTTTAATAACTCTGGGTCAATAACAAGGGCACAACCGGAGTTGAGAGGGCAGGTTTGGCTTTGATTAGGACCACCAGGTTCAGAACTCTTCTCTTCACTCATTCTGCCAGGCCGAGGTCACGGGAGGATGATGCATTTCTTGGGATAGAGTTTGCCTGGGCCAAGTGGCTTTTGGGGAGAAGGTGTGCCTTGAGTGCAGGTGGCGTGTTGACCCGCTCTCCCAGGGCAGGTTCTAAGGTGGGCCTGGCTTGGCCGGCCCTCTCAGGCCCCTGCCAGCTCATGTTGAGCCCTAAACAGGAGCAGGCTCTGCTCCAAGGACATGTTCCAATTAGAGGTCTTTGCCCCGGCTTCAGCCCAGGTTGGTGTCCTGGTCTTTCAGATCCTTGGGGATTTGTTCCCCAATCCAAAGCCAGCAGGCCAGCACAGGAGCCCTCCAGGTTTTGGTTTCACTGTCTCTCAGCTCCCTGGTTTTCTGCTCTGTTTTCAGAAACCCAGGCCGGGAGGGCATTATAACTTTAGACACATTCCTAAGCAGGTCTCCGGGACATAGCAAAATGGGCCGAGGAACATAGCCTTTCTTCAACCAAACAATGGCTTTTTAAAATAAAGCAATCTGGCACAAGCTCTACTTGAGGTTTAGCACGTTCTATGTTTAGAAAGAACTGATTTTTGTCTTTTTTACTGGAGGAGTTTGGCACGCAACATGTTGATTGCTTTGAGGTGACCGTCCTGCTTTGCTTAGTCTGGGATAGTCCGCATACATACCAGTTCTCTCTCACAAGTTCCTGGGTCTGAGTCGATAAATTATATGTTTCACTGTGCTTATTACCAAAGAGCAGATTCAGGACAGACTGTGCCCTGGGGCTGGCTTCGGACAGGCCCTGAGATGTCTGGTCTCTGGCCTCTGTGTGGGCCGTGTTCTCTCTAGGCTGGAAACCTTCAACTGCAATCCAGGGTTATAAGGCCTTCATGGCCCTTTGAGACTTCCGTGTTTCAGCATTAAACAGAGCCAAGCCTGAGCATCCCAGCATCCCAAAAGCCTGGTTCTTTCTTCTTCGAACCCCTGGAAAAG